AGGTGGGGAGATGACATGGGCAGGGTCCTCCTGAAGGGGCTGGGGATGAGGAGACATGGATAAGGTCCTCTTGGAGAGGATGGAGATGAGGAGGTGACATGGGTATGGTCCTCCCAGAGAGGCTAGGGATGAAGGTAGGGTCTTTGTGGAGAGGCTGAGACAAGGGACATGTGCAGGTTTGTCCCACGAGCTGCTGGCCTTTGGGAGGCATCGAGTGGATCGGGAGGCTCCGTGTTGTCCTCCATCCCCTTTCCATGTTGTCCTCCATCCCCTTTCATGCCACTCCTTTGTGGTGTTGTTTGGCCATGGCTGGCCCTTTGTTTTTACAGCTGCTGGAAGTGTTTTGAGCTGAAAGGTTTATTTTCTTCCCTCTGCTTGTCGTCACAGGGTTGTTTTCTTTCTCCCCACGGCATCTCGTGGCCGTGCTGGGCTCTGGGAAGCCCGGCTCCTCCCGGCTCTGCTAGGGAGGCCCGTGGGTCTCACAACTTTCCCTTTGGTCTCGTTGGCTGTCATTCTGTCCATGGAATGACCCCTCCTCCAGCCAGAAGGGCCACGCTGCAGCATTTTCCCACCACTGCAGTGGATTAGGGCTGAACTGTGGGCAGGCTCGCTCTGCTCCCCATTACCTCTGGGTGACTGGGTCCCCATCCTTCCTCTTGCTTCCATCACCATCTCCCAGACCATCTTCCAAAAGACTGTGAGTACTACAGTGCCTTTTTTTTCTTTTCCTTTCTCTGCCCTTTGTTCTGTAGGCTTCATTTCTCTCCTACTTTGTCTCCATATTCATTGCCCAAAGCCAATGGGATATGGATCACTCTCCTTGCCCCTCGTGGTACCTCTCCCATTTTTCCCCAGCCCCAAATCTTTCCTACAATCCTTCTCCCATTGTGGACCAGGCAGAAACTGCTGAACCAGAACCCACTGCCAAAGCAGCTGCTGAGCACAAGAATTAACGAGCACTGAAATGGTGGCATCAGCTTTTTGTTCTTAAATCCAAATGATCCTCGAGTGCTCCTTTGGGGAGGGGGAGGACATCAGGCATCCCCTCTGGTAGGGGTGGTTTTGGGATTCTTGGGGCTTTCATCGTCCCAACTAAAGAGCTAAAGGAGAAAGGTTGGATAGCCCCAAATCTGTGGTTTGGGGGAGAGCGATGTGTGTTGGTTCACACTGATCCCAGTGATGGGTTTTGGGATTGTGGATGGGATCCACTGGTGTTTTGCTTCCCCACCAGGCAGTATGGACTCTGAGCTTTCCCTTCCCTCTTCATATAGGACCTCTGCAGCCAAAATGTGGTCATTTGGGGCAGCACAGGGCATGAATGGTAGACAGCACCAGGCATCCCCTTGAGGCAGGAGCAGATTTGAATTCTTGGGGCTAGAGAGAGAGATAGGGGGGAAGGGTTGGGAAGCCCCAAATCTTTGTTTTGGGGGGAGTAGATCTCAGATCTGTGTTGATTTGCACTGTCCCACCCAACATCTCTCTGTAAGACAGTCCCAAGCGATGGGTTTTGGGATTGTGGATGGAATCCACTGGCGTTTTGCTTCCCACCAGGCAGTGAGGACCTCAGGCTTTCCCCTCCTTCTGCACATAGGACCTCTGCAGCCAAAACGTGGTCTTTTTAAGGCAACATAGGATGTGAATGGGAGCTGTGCCCCTCGGGCTGAGCGTCCTGAGCTGCCCTCCAGGTGTTCAGCGCTGCTCAGCCTGGCTTTATTTTGTGTACTGGAGGCAGAATTGTTTTGTCCAACGCCGGGAAAGGGAAGTGAACACATTGTATGGTCCCCTCCACAATCCACGTCCTGTAAACAGCCCACGACTGCCTTTCCTTCCAACCTGTTTGTTCCTCTGCAGGGCGGATGGGGCTGGTAAATAAAGGGGGATGTGGGGCTTCCCCAGGATCCGTCCCACAGCTCTGGGATGCAGCCATGGGATTTTTCTGCTGCCGGGGACAAAACAGCCCCGTCGGTTTGCCTGGGCCTTAAAGCTAATTACCAGTCGACTAATTTTATTGATTTCAAATCCCTTTTAGCAGAGATTTTGCCTTGGGGCTGATCGCCAGAGCGATTAGGACGCAAAGCAGCTTAATTTGGAAGTGTTTATCAAGCAGCCTTCTGTCACCTCTGCTTCAAATCAAATTAGGGTGGAGCACCGGGGCTCTCCTGGTGGCATCCCACCTCCATCCATCCACCCTGGGCTGCGTCAGCCCTTCCCATCCCAATGCAAAGCCACGATGCTCTCTAGCTGTGCCCTGCTCTGCTCTGAAGGCTGCAGGTCAGGCTCAGCATGGATGAATTCCTTGTATCCACACGGAGCAGTTGTTGTCTACCAGCTCTTCTGTGCCACAGAAATCGTAAAGGATAAAAAACCCCACGACTGTCTGACAGCTACATCTTATTCTATTAGTACGTTTTAATTAGAACACCAGCAAGAAATGAGTTATGAATATTCATGCCCAGGGTTATTAAAATGCACAATTAATCTGCGCGCTTTTTAATAACTGTATTAATGGAGAGAAGGAGGTGCAGCTCCTGTTTTCCACTTGTTTTCGGAATTGTGAAGCGTGCCCCAACCTGCTTGGCTGCAAAAATGAAGCAGCTGCGTGCACGTGTGGGTGTCTGAGCATCCTGTGCTGGAGGTGAGCACTGCAGAGCTCCAGGGCCGTGCTGTGCCACGCTGCAGCCGTGCTGCAATCACATCCTTGCCTTGGATTTGTGTTGTTTCGTTGGTTTTTGGTTGTTTGGGGTTTTGTTTTTGCCCAGAGCAGGTGGGTGCTGTTCCAGAAGCACCTGCTTTTGGCCGACCTTTGGGATGCTCGAGGGTGCAGCAGAGGGAGTTTGCTGCCAAATTGTAGCTCCTTGTTGATAGGAGGGGAGGGAAGAGCAGCCTGGTGATGAGCGTGGGGCAGCTGCCAAGGAGTGAGGTGGGCAGTGTGCTTTCTGCACCTGAATTCTCCCATCTCCTGCAGGCTGCAGTGGGGCATGCTGCACTGGTGATGGGGTGAGACCTTCTGCCAGCCCCACGCTGGCTATGGGGCAGCTGTTGGGGTCCTTCTGACCCCTGTGCTGTCCCTGAGCTGTGCTCCGTTTGCTGGCTGGGCAGCAGAGCAAAAGCCTCTCTGTGTTAATCATAGAATGGATTGGGTTGGAAGGGACCTCAAGGATCGTTGGGTTCCCATTCCCCTGCCACATGCAAGGCCACCAACTTCCCCATTTAATACCATCCCAGGCTGCCCAGGGCCCCATCCAACCTGGCCTTGAACACCTCCAGGGATGGATGGGGCATCACAGCCTCTCTGGGCAGCTGTTCCAGCACCTCACTGTAAGGAACATCCCCCCGAAATCCCATCTAAACCTTCCCTCCTTGAGCTTAAAACCATTCCCCTTTGCCCTACTGCTATCAACCCCTGTTAAAAGTGGATTCCCCCAATACAGAGCATGAAGGTGCTAAAGGGACTTTGGGGGTCCCCAGTGCCCAGAGGCATCTGAGCCTCTCAGGCTCAGCGTAGGGCAGCAGAATGCTGCTCACCCCCTTCTTGGAGCACCCTGGATGGGAATATTTCCTTTTTTTTTGGGGGGTAGGATTTTGGGGCAAAAAATTCCTGGTGAGCTTCCAGGCACCCAAAGTCATGCGAGGCCCCATTGGTGGGGATGGGAGTCATGGGCTGCTGCCATGGGGGCTTGGCACTGTCCTCGTGCCTCCAGCATGTGAGAGCCAAGCAAAGGGAAGGAGCAGCTCTGCTTCCTGATCTCCACTGGTGTTTGCAGGGTATGCAGATGAATTGCTTTAGAAAAACACATTAGCAAAGCAAAAGTTTATTCTAGGAAGTAGGAGGTGGGAGAATTGGCAGTAATTCTCCCTAGTATCCAAGGTATTATTAGAGGCTTATCCCTGCTCTGCACAGTAATCACATTGGAAATTTTTGATTAGAAAACAAAATCTAAATGAGAAGTATGAATATTCATTAGGTGTGGAGATTAATATGCATAATTATGCAAATTAGACAGCAATTAAACACCAATTCTCTGGGGAAATGATTAACACAAAGGCACAGAAATAGAAGGATGTAATTTGAAAGAAGTTTCTGGTTAAATGAACAGTAAGGGGAGCGGAGGAGACAAATACCCACCGTGTCTGCCATAATAATCAGCTCTGCTAAAATGAAATGGGAGCCTGCCCACCCCGGCTGCACCCCATGGACCCCCCTCACCCCACAGCTTTTGGGTCAGCAGGGCCCCACGTGCCTCAGTGGGGTGGGTGGAGGGGTGTGGGATCCCCCCAGTCGTGGGGATGGAGCTCAGGGCATGAGCTCACACCTTGCTGGGGCTGTGCAGCCCGAGAGGAGCTGGCAGCAGATGAAAGGAAACCGATTCCTACCACGAGAGTGCTGCAAAAGCCTCCTCTTGGTTCGCTGCCATTGTGGACTGAACCACCCTGATGAGAGAGAGGGGCTTTTGGAGGGCTGAAAACAACACGGGGGAGAGCGTGCTGTGCACAGCCCCATGGTGCCATCCCCCTTCACCTGCAGGAACACAGCAACTTAAAGCAAAAATAGCCACGAACCACTGTGAGCCCCAATAATGTGCCCTCAGCCTCCTGTTGAGGCTCTTGGATGTTGAGCCATTGAGCACCAGGCAGCTCTTTGCACGCTGCTCCCGCCAGCAAAAATCAGCACTGGAGGCAGTCGGTTCTTCGTTTGCAGTGGTCTCAGGGTGGAGCAGAGTCGCAGTGTTTGTTTCTCCTCTTCCCCACTGCCCTCTGTGTTTTGAAGCATTTCCAGACTGGTGTGGGATTTGCTTTGAAGCTGGTGGGATAAAATCCCAGCAGAGGTGGGGAGGTGGGGATGGAGAGGAGAGGATGATGGGTCGCGCCGAGTGGAAGTGGTTTATTAATGAAAATATTGCTTTGTTTGTAGAAGGAAGAGTTAATTTTGTGAGAACACCTTTGAGGCTTTGCTGATAAAGCAAGAGTAACCTTTGTTCTTCCTGTTTTTTTGTAGGTTTGGATGAAAGACCGGGATCAGGTTCCTGGGGAACGGGAGATCAAAACAGCTCCACGTTTGACCAAGGAAGGGTAAGGATGGAGCACAAACACAGAGCTCAAAGGAAAATAAACGGGGGCTCTGCTGTGCCTTTCAGAGCATGCATTTGTGCCCAGGTCAGCCCTGACCCCTGGAACTGCCTTTTTTGCTCCCTTTTGGGCCATGTTTGTGTTATTGGAAGGGGGTCAGCAGGCAGAGGGGACCCTACCACTCCTCCAAACCCTTGTGCAGACCTTCAGCCCATGTTCTCCCTTCTCCCCATGCTCAGCTTTGGGCTTATTATCCCCATGCTCAGCTTATTACAATGGGGTCCCCAAATCAGGATGAGTTTGGGGAGCACTGGCAAGGTTTCAGCATGAAGAAGCCAAAACTGAACAGCGTAGAGCTGGGGCCCGAGGAGGAAAAGAGAGAAAAGACATTAACTTAATTGAAATGGTGTTTTTTTGACAGATGCTCATGTTTTAATGGGTTTGTGTGATTCGTTTTCATGATGGCACCATTCCCTTCCCTTAGGTCAGTGGTGGAGCAGCTCTGTGTCATTTCTCATTTTTATAGAGCTCCTCCTCCCCTCCACTCCCCCCAGCTCAGGGCAGTTCTGGGGCTCTTTGCTCCTCACCTGGCGGGCACTGAGCTGCTGAGCAAGGGCAGAAACCCATCAGGAGCCACCAGCACAGGGCCAACACCCTGTAGATCCCTGCTTTGGTGCTGTGTCCCCTCCAAATGCCACAGCCTCGCTGCCTTGCTCTCTGCCACAAGGATGGGATCATTTCTCTGTCCTGTTTACAAGGTGCTTTTGACTTTGACCTTTCCCACTGCTCCCTGACAGCCTGGCCTCTCCAGAGCAGGTCTGTGCTGTGCAGCTGATGCGACCCTGAGGCTAACCAGGGCCTTTGGCATCTCCAGAGGGTGCCCATCAAGTAGCAGCTTGGGTCTTTTCCCCTCCAGTTGCGTCAGGCAGCATCTCACCACATTAAATGGGGCACACATAGATACATATCCCACATTCCTCAGCATTTGGCTCAGCATCTCTGATGATCACTACCTGTGTTGCTCCAGCAGAGCTATGGTGAAGGCCCCCACTATGGTGAGCACCGGGACCTGCCGTCGCACAACAGCTTGTCTTCATCTCCATTCCTGGGACCTGGACTAGTGGGTGAGTGCCTCCCACTGCCTGACGATACTGCAGGCTCAAAGCAGGGCCAATCTAACAGCAACATGCACTTCCTGGGAGCATTTTCACCAGCCAGCATCACTGCTTCCCCCAGCAGAGCTGCTGTCCGGGCTGTGGTTAAAGCAGCTGTTGGCCAGAGGGTCTCATCAGCACCTAATGTTGCACGGCAGCCACTGTATTTATGGGCACAGTTATTTTTCTCTGTTTTACAGTAGGGCAGTAACAGAGGTTGATTCTGGCTGTGCTGGTGCAGGAAGGGCTGAGTTTGCTCTCGAGGAGCTGCTAATCAGGGTTGGAGAGGCGTGGAGAGAGGGACAACAGGCACAGCTCATCCTTAAGGTCTCACAATAGGCTCATAGGAGGCTTTGCCCCACAGCCCCACTGACCCAGGCAGTGTGATTCCTGCAGAGAGCTCCCTGCTCCTGTGGTGGGATCTGGGGAACTCTTGTCTTGTGTTCTGACTCTCTCTGTCCACCTTCTCTGCCCCCTATGCTGGGTGGCACGAGGGACACAGCACACCTTGCTGTGCCCATTACAGTGATCATGTGGCACTTTACCCATCTCCCTCTCCCCTAGAGTGGAAGGAGAGATTAAGAGCAGAAAATATCCACCCTGAAGGACTTAGAGAGCTGTAATGGCATTAGGAATTGGGCTTAGTCCTCCCCACCTTTGCCCACGCGGTGGTGGGTGGAACCCTCTGATTGGAAGCAGGGGAATGAGAAGGGGGCATTGGGTTTGAAACAGAAAATCCCCACTGGGCACAGAGGTTCCTCCTCTGGAGCAGGTCAGAAAGGGGAAGAAGAGCAGGGTGGCACTGGGAAGCTGCTGTCAGCACTCTTCCTCCTCCTCCTGCCTGTGTTTGTGGCACGAGGCTCGCTCTGAGCTCTGCTACATTTGCTTGCCCTTCAACTTCTGAAGATAGCAGAGCGAGGGAGGTGATTCCTTCTTGTTTCCTGCCCCGGGAGGATGTAAGCAAAGCAGAAGAGATGTTTCTTCATAAGCCAGGGGAGCCTTGATGTCATGTAGCAGGGTTTGTTGGGGCATGAGCTGGGGCAGGAACCCTCCCATGCCGGGAGCAAAGGCAGCCCTAAGAGCTTCCAGGTGAGAAGGAGCTGCCTGGGGAGGAACACAGAGCTTTCCCCTTTGATGTGTGCAGGGAGAGGACACGTTTGGCTTCCTCTCAAAGCTGGGGCTCCCAGTGCTTTGCAAACAGCGGTGGCTGCCAAGCTGGCTGCTCCCCAGCACGTGGAACCAGAGCCTCTGTGCCCCAATGGGTGACATCCTCCAGCTGCCACCAAGCAGTTCACACTGGCACCAACACCCCGCGCCGTCCCCATGAGTGCTGGCAATGCCCCTGGCTCCAGGCAGAGCACTTAGAGCCACACCACCAAACCAGGAGCTGGGAAATAGCAGATAGGAGGGGCAGGGGCCTCCTGCCATTTCAAAGTCACTTTTGTTCCTAAAACTGAATGTGGTTGAAGGAGAAAACACCAACCCCTGGAGCAGGATCCAAGATAAATACGTAGGTTTTGCTTCGCCTCTGCACTCTTACACCGAAAACAGCAGCATGGAGGAAGACCACAGGTGGAGCTTTCTCTTCCTCATTACCAAACTGCTGCTGAAAACTTTTCAAGTGGCAAAAATCTTCAAGGGAAAATGAGAGGGAAGGAGAGTGGGTCAAAAAAAAAAAAACACACAACCCAAAAAAACAAAACCCCAATCTTTTTGCATACAACTGCAGTAGCAGAGTGGGAGGGAAGTGTGAGCTTTGGAGATGTCACCTCCCTGTCACTCCCTGGTTTCCCAGAAGGTCCCCCCGGGTGGCACGAGGTGGTGGGTGATGAGGGAGGAGGGATTTTTTTGTTGTAAATCACCCACCTTCCAAATCAGTCACTCTTTCACCATTCCCTTTCAGCAGGGAGCGGATGGCTGGGGAGGCATTGCTTAAACAGGGGGGGAAACTGATAAGCCATAACAGATTTCTTTCTAGTAATTATTTCTAGTAATTAGCTTCTTTTCAGAAGAGTGTCTCTAATCTTGTGCACATTGTGAGCTGTTGTGGATTGTGCTTTTTCCTGGACAATACTTTTAATCTGCCTGCGGATGGGGCTGGTTGCTGCTCCCCTGGTTTTTGTTAACATCCTTCCCCCCTCCCTCCTATTCCAACCTGGGCTTTTCTCATCCTTCCTCCCCTGGATGAGTTGTGATGGAGTTAGCAGGGCTGGGGAGATGCTGGGAGCCCTGGGAAGCACCCAGGTGCTCAGGGGGAGTTGGCCAAATCTATGGGCACATTGAGTCCCTTTCCCTTGCATGTCTGCAATTGGGACTTGAGGGGAGAAAAGGCAAACCCACAACTCTACTTAATAACACTGCTGAGGTTGTTGGAGGGGAGGCGCTCCTGCTCAGCCTCAGTGTCTCCCCCACAAAAAGGGATCCTGGTTAAGATGTAATGATTTATTCCCTAACTTTCCCTGCTATCTGTCCACCTGAGTGCTGTTAGAATAGCAGGATTCAGTCATTTGGAGGAGGCATTCGGGGACATTCCTGGCACGTTGCACTGAGAGCTGCTTCCATCCCACTCCATGCTGCCTGCTTGGAGCTTCGTCCCATTTCCTGCCCAAAGCCTCCAGGCCGTGCCAAACCCCAGAGCAGAGAAATCTGCCATCCCTCCAAAGTTTGGCATTCCTCAGCATTCACCATCCCTCCTCTTTGCCATCCCTTCCCTCTGCTGTACCTCCTCTTTACCATCTCTGCCATCCCTCCACTTTGCCATCTCCTCTCTTTGCCATCCCTCCTCTCAGCCACCCTCCAGCCCCATTTTCCTACCCAACTGAATTTACAGTCTCTGCAGCCGAGATTTTCTCCTCTTTCTGCATTATCCTGGTGCAGGGCTGGGGGATGCCTCTCCCTCTGAAGTTCCTCCCACCCTCACACCACCGCTGATCAAAGCGTGCAGCAGATTGCTGGTACCAGGCACGCTTTGCTTCTGACATGAATCAAACGAGGCACAAAAGAACAAACATCAGATGAAAAGCAGCAGGTTTGGGGAGAGGCACAGAGCAGACTTGATGCTCACAGTTGTCATATGGCTGTTCTGCTTTCCGTGGTGGGTTTGGGATCGGGGTGCCATCAGGTGGGTGGGTACAGAGATGGGTTTGCAGTGGAGAGGGCTGGAATTGCCCTGGTTTCCCTCTGGTTCAGGAGCAGCCCTGATCCTCCCAGTGACACAACCTGCTGAGCTATTTGTGTCACACCACAGCAAATATAGCTGCTAAGCTCTTTTAGAAATTAGGTCATTTAAGAGATCTGTCCTCTGACATCCTGACCTTTGTTTACTTAATGTTTAAGCCTCTGCAGCGAGGCAGCAGCAGGGCCTGGCACATCTGCCCATTGGGATGGGAGGAGCAGGGCCAGGCTGAAGTCACCCCATCCCTTTGGGGCTCTCAGGATTGGCTGTGCAGCTCAAGGACCGCTCAGAAAACGGGGCTGAGCTCACCATCCCTGCACAGAATCAGTGCTGGGGGCTGCAGGCCGAGCAGCCCAACACATTCCTGTTGTGGGGGGTGACCCAGGGCAATTTTCTCCCCACCATCTTCAGCTGCTCCCCAAGAGCTCTCAGTGTCGCCCCAGTGCGTTATCCTCCATCTTAGGGCTTTAGGTTAAGCAGATTGGCCAAATCCTCCCCTGACGGTTTTGCTCGTTGCAGCAGCGTGGGGAGGCGGGATGCCATCACCCCCATTTTGGAGAAGGGGTTTTTTGGGGTGGCCCCATCACTTACCAGCTTCAGCCATGTGGGTTCCCCACACCAGAACGGGGCTGCCCTGCTGCTGGTCACAACCTTTTGGTCACCATCTCCATTTCCCCAGCAGCATCACTCATAGCAATCACTGTTGCTTTGTGCTGACCAGGGGTCCCACCCCCCTCACCCCCAGCACCCATGGGTGCTGCATGCCCGGCTCCCCAGAGAGGTGCCTGTGAGAACCTCAGGATGGAAACATTTCACCATATGTCTTGGGTTTCTTTTTATTTTTTGTGCTTCCCCCCCCCCGTGACAGCAGCATTCTCAGCACTGTGTGGGTGGGGGGGGGAGGGTTGCTGAGCATCAATAGAAGGCATCACGGGTGCATGGGGTGCACATGGGAATGGGTGGCACAGGGCCTTGGGGACACTGTGGGCTGGGGCTGAAGTGAGGAGCGAGGGAACTTTCCCATTGAATGCATTCTCCTTTGGAAAGTTGAGCACCCAGCAAAAAAAAAGGGGGCAGGAAATAATCCACGAGGGCTGGGAGCTGAGCCCCACCAAGATGGAGTGTCCCATTGTATGGGAAGCACATGCAGCCTGCTCCTTCCCTCCTGGCTCTGAGTTCTCTCTGCCTCTGCCAAACTCTGTGCTTTTTTTATTTAATATGTCTGGAGGTTTGTGTTGTGTTGGGTGGGTTTTTTTTGTGTGTGTGTGTGTGTGTGCTCTGGCCTCCAACTGCCAGTTTCCATGGCCACAAGCACTTCCCCGGTTTGGGGTTTTGCTGTTTGTGGACCGAGCCCTGCCTCTCGCTCACTTAAAGGCGCTGCTGTTCCCTGCTTCCTGCAGGCACACGGAGAGCTGCTGCAGAGACGGGGAGGGATGGGTGCAGGGTTCTGCTTCCCCATCACACAGAGCGTCGTTTCTGTTTCTTCTCCACCGTAGGGAAGAGCGGTGAAAGAGCCTCGTACTCCACTTTTGGAAGAGACGCCGCCGGGATGCCAGGGCTGAGCCAGGTAAGGGTAGAACACGTGGAGTTTTTTGCTGTGTGAGAGCCTAAGGGTCAACAGCTTGCTGGCAGCTCCGGGCATGAGGTTCTGTAAAGCTCAGAAGGGGCTGCTCAGTGCCTGGTGTGTGCTGAGGGCTCAGGGGAGGAGCTGTCAGAGCTGGGATTGGGGTCGGGGGTTCTCCATCCCTCTGCCAGCCTTGGCACTGCTGCTTTCCCTGCTCCCATCCCAGCCCCAGCACCTCCATCCCTACCACCACCATCACATCAAGCCAGGCTGCAAACAAGAAGGAGCAAAACCCCTCCCTGGCCAGCACCTCATTCCTTGCCAAAGAGAGAAGCTGTGCCGTGGTTGCTGTGCTGCTGTGCCATCATTTTGCTGGGGCAGGCAGTGTTTGGGTCTGTGGCCACTCAGGACCTGTGGCTCATCACTGCAGTTGGGGGGGGACACACAAAGCAAGGCGTTATGGAGAGGCACAGCCCTCAGCTGGCCAGCTTTTCTTTTCTCCATGTCCACACACACACACACACATTACGTGTTTTAATTTTACACAAATTTGTCATAATTTCCTCTTCTCTGAACTGAGGATGTTTCCTTTGCTGAAACAGCTGTGCTGGCTGCCCGTGCCAGAGTGGATTTAATTTACCACTGAAGCTGCTAAAATAAAAACGGGATGGAT